AATACTCCTCTACCCTAAAATAGGGAATGATATTTAAATAGGAAAGAATTCATTTAAGAGTGAGTGAGAGGGTGAATGGATTTAGGAATTGAATGCGTTGGGTGCTGAAATTACTTAGCTGTTGATAGCCCCTGGAGGCCAACCTCGATAGCTGGACGGAGGTTTAATCCAAAATTGGGAACACCCGTGTTGGGTACATTAACCAAATTCCTTTCTTCAAGAAGAAAAGAAAAGAGAAAAATCTTAGTGAATTTCATAAAAATTAATATTAAAAATACCTTACCTTCATCTTATATTTAAGTCCCCTAATTTTTAAAAAAAACACTTGTTCAAAAATAACTGTATGTAAACAAAATTTATTTATGGAACTGCCCAAGTTTACAAATTATGTGCACACTCCCTTATCTGCCTTTTCAAAAGTTTAGATGTTAGGCACTTAATCTCTTTTCTGTTTCAACTTTACAAGGGGCTTGACTTATTAAGCGCGGTGGACTTTATTGCGAAGGGGCAAAAATTCAGGGGCTGTGTCCGCCAATTGGGTCAGGAAGGTGTTTTTAGTCAAACGACGCCCCTACTCTTAATTATATAGTTCACCATGATGTGAAGATTGCCCTCTGCAATGGCTTTGTTATGTTTCGTTTTATTGCTGAAAGACACATTCTCACTGAGTTTAACACTTTTTCCTTGAGGTATTTTCACCCTGGGAGAGGAGACTGTGAGTTGTCCGAATGGTTTAAACTTGAGAGTTGAGTGCATTGGCGTGTTAATGCTGATAACATCAACTGTGTTTTTTGTTTCTATTATCTCTACTTCTTCCTTTTATGCTGGTTTAGTACTTTTGTTTCCAAACTAACAGAAATACAATCTTCATTTCGTTTTAAGAGAAACTTCCGCGGTTATTTTTCAAACTGCCCGGTCTGATTAGCCTTTGACAACATTGTGTATAATGCAATTGTATTGAGTCTTCATTCTGACAATTTCAACTATAAACAAATGAAATCTCAGAATTTGCAATTTTAAGATGTACAGTTTTCTTTCGGAATTTTTGTTAGCCCTGCCGTTCGATCGCCCTTTTTTCGGGCGACCTCCCGTTTTACATACTCAGTATTTCACATCCCTTTGACAAGCGATTATCTCAAGAATCGAAGTCCTCGCCGTTCGACGAATTCCCCATTGGCACGTATTTCTTCAGACGGGAGAAAATATTCGCGTGTTACATTATACAAATTGTGCTGTTTATCTCATCTTTGCTGGAGTTGAGTTGCGCTACTGTTCGAATAAAACGGAATTTCCTTTGAAATAGGCCGTTCACAATTGTTGATTTGAAGAAAGAGAGAGAGAGAGAAAGAAAAAATAGAGAAAGAGAGAGAGGGATAAACACAGACAGAGAGAGAAACAGAAACAGAGAGAGAGTGAGAGAAAAACGGAGAGAGAGGGAGATGGAGAAGATAAAAACTGTGAGAGAGGAAGATATGCAGATAGGTAAAGGCATAGAAAAAAAGTGTAAAGGTAGAAATAGAATGATACAGATAGAAGAGAAGAAAAAAATACAGAAGATATAAGATAAAAATAGAGAAAGAATTATATATAAATTCACTAATTTCGTGGTCCGCTTGACCAATTAATTAAGGTTTTTTTTTAGTTGAGATAAAAAAGTCAAAGGCACGAGCGGGATTCGAACCCACGATCTTCGGCTAGATACGCCGCTTCCTACCTCAACCCCACCTTTTGTGTTTAGGATAAATAGGAGGAAAAACTAAAAAAGGGTTGAGATAGGAAGTTGATGTCCTAGTGGATCGAGGTCACGATAGGTCAAGTGGTAGAGCAGCGGCGTATCTAGCCGAAGATCGTGGGTTCGAATCCCGCTCGTGCCATTGACTTTTTTATCTCAAGTAAAAAAAACCTTAATTAATTGTATTATATATAAGAGAGAGAAAGAGAGAGATAGAGAGAGAGAGAGAGTGTGAGAAACGCCACATACAATAATTTACTATCCCATAATTTTAATAACATTAAAATTTCGCTAAATGTAAATATCCACTGTTAACGTATTTTTCATTAAGATATCAATAGAAAAAAGACGGTCCATTTTCAAAAAATTAATATTTAATTAATTTTAATTAAAACAACAGAAAATGTTACTTTGATATTTGAATCGTATAATTAAATTATTTATTTCGTTTTGCCTTTTTAATAGTTAATTTATATTACTTTGCTAATGTAATGAACATACACTAGTTGGGTAATGGTTCCTTTATTTAAATAAAATAAAAGGTTTTTTCTTTCTTCTGTATCGAACCTCGTCTCATTTCTTGAGCCGACAAGTCCAAAACAGTTTTTTTTTGTTTTTTTTGCAATTTGTATTTACTCACAAACTGTTTCAATCAATTCTGTTAGTGTTTACAAAAAGAGTTCTAGGATTGAAAATATTTTTTTAAATATAGAACAACAGTGGGGTCATTTTCATACATTTTTTGATTACTTTTATTTCAAAATATTGGTTATTGAACTGTTTTCGAAATTTCTTGCTACATTAAAAAAATACAACTAAATTGTTTTATTTATGTTTTTAATTTTATATTTTTAGAACCTCGTGTATTAGTTACATGAACTCGTGTATATCCACAATTCCCTTTTGAATTTGATGTATGTTTTTAATTTTTTGTTTTGGCGACGTCGTGGCTAATTATTTACGCCTTTCTTATTCGCTTCATATACAATTGTTTGAGAGCTTCAGAATAGAATGTACCAGAATTCGATCCCGAACTTAATTTATCATTAAGGCTTTTCAGTTTTTTTGCCTATCCTGAGAAATAGGCTTTCACGCATTAAAGTGCACTTTTCTTTTAATGTTATCTAACATTTTTGATAATGAATTGTTCAAATTCAGTATTATATGTTTTAGAAAAGTTATGGTTAAGAAGTTAGTAAGTAGTAAAAATAATATGCAGTTTATGAGGAGAAAACCTTTTAAAATTAGTTTGTTGAATCCGTGAGGAGTAGGTCAAGAATGAGGTATTTTAGAAAAACACCTTTTTCATTTTTTTTGCCGACGTTTCGACCTCGGGTCATCTTCAGGGCATAAAGTGTAGTGCTATTCTTGTGGTGTCATAGTGGTGATGTCTGAAATTGTTGTAACACATACGACCGACATAACATTTTCACAATTTTTCTGAACTACCTCATTCTTGACTGTTCCTCACAAATATAACGAATTATCAAACATCCGGCCACTAAATAACCACACGTTTAAAATTAAGAAAATACAATATTTTGACCATATCACAATATCAAATTTTTGGGAAAGTACTATTTTTTAGAAAAATTTTGTTAAGAATATCTATTATTTACAAATTCACAAACAAGCACATAAAATCTCTCTCTCTCTCTATCTATCTATCTATCTATCTATCTCTATCTCTATTTATATCTACCATTTTATTTTTACACTTTCTTGCTCTCTTCCTTTCTGACTCGCTCTCTATCTATCTATCTCTATCTCACTTTTTATCTATTTATCCATCTACTTACCTATCAATATATCTATCTTTCCATCAATGTATCTTTTCAGCTCTCTTTATCTTTATCTCTCTTATTTTGTACATCTCACTCTAACCTTGAATTTATAAATAATATTTATCTATCTATCCATCGGTCTATCTATCTCTCACTCACTCTCCCTGTCTTTCTATTCATTTATCACGTCTTTCCCTCCATTTCTATCTACCACTTTCTCTAGTCTCTCTTATCTATCTATCTATGCAAATATATATATTTCGTCCCTTCGTCCCCCATCTATCTATCTATCTAGGCATCTATCTATGTATATATCTATCCATCTATTTTCCGTCCATCCATCTATCTACCTCTATTTTTCCGTGTCTATCCTTCACCTAACCATGTTTCCTCATCTCCATCTTATTACTTTTATACCTGTATATATACATTTATTTATCCATAGCACTCTTTTTATACACTCAGTCATAAACCCAAAGCAGTAAAACACTTCAAGAAAACATATTCTAAAAAATTCTTTCAAAAAGATTGATTACTTAAACATTTGACAATTTCGTATTTAAGCAGGTATAACTTGTATTTTTAAAATTGTATTTTTACAAGTGACCGTTCTGAAGGTACATCTTTTCTCAAAATATCTTCACCCTTCCTCTTCTTTCTGTTTTTATCTATCTACATCTCTCTCTATTCCACTCTTTATTTCTCTTTGTATTTTTTCCATCTGAGTTAATATGAGACATGTGACATTTGAGAATGTATTATGTGTTTATGTTGGTATCTCATTTTTTATNTATATTTAATGTTCTATATACTTGACATATTGAAGTTGTCCTTCAGAACTCGATAATTTTAATTTAACCTTTTTGAGTTCCTAGCATCATTATTTTTAGAATGGGAACGACTTTCAAAATGTGTGAATAAAAATAGAATTACATTGATTTAAAAAAATTTGATCGTCAAGTCGGCTTAACACGTCAACTTATGAAAATTCTAATAGCACTTGCAGATTCTACATATGTGCAATATTATATTCTAAACCATATTTAGTTTTTTTAAACTAAAATGAACACATAAAAATAAAAAGCGATAATTCACATTGTATAAATGTATTATATTCATAAATCACCCTGCAGACTAGCAATCTTTCAATAAATATATGTCAATGTGTGTGCACATACACTTTTATATAGTGTTAGCATGTTGCACCTTTCTACTGCTATTCATTTGTTAAAGTATTCACAGGTAATATTTCATGTACTTTATTTTCCTCAGAGAATGGTGAAATTTTCGATAGGGTTAAAGAAAGCCAGTTCACATTGTTTCACCTATTTACAGCGGCGAGTTCAAAGGGTCCGTCCTTTGTCGGCAAACCTGCTACTAAGTCCTTTCAATAATAAGAATTGTACGAAATGTTATCCTATCACGGCCGGTATATATACCCTCTTATGGCCGGAAAACGTCATTTGACTTTGCGAACTCAAAGGAGTAATCGGCATGGGCTTCACCACCTACTTTACAGGATACTACTTCATCAGCTACTTCGCGTACCTTGCCACGTAAGTCCATTCGTGTGTTTTTTCTTTTTAACTCGATTACATCAAAATTTGTCAAGTACTTTTATATTGTTAGGGGCTCCTGGATAAACACGATGGCACATGCCTATCATATGACCCCGTCTAACGATGTCGATTATGTAAGTACTTTTTTATAATAAAATCTTATTAATTATTGATTAAACTTTTATTACAAAAGTTGCAACTACAATGGCAAAATCACAGTTGCAAATAGGCGAAAAATTTTAAAAAATTAAAAGGCTATTTTTTCTGTTTTAACAATATCAAGTAGATTCCATTTCAACAAACATTTCTGAACAAATTAAAAATTAAATCAACAAAAATAAATTAAGTGAAATTGACTTTTGGTTTAAACTGTAATAAAGTTTCGTTTATCTACAAAATATTTGATCGTTGGACCGCTTATAGTTTAGTTTTGCATTTTCTATCGCCTTATCTCCATTAAGCAATTTATTTTGTTTGTCCCGACTGACAACAATGCTAATAAGTAAGCGGAATTATTCTTCAAATTTAATGGGATATATGTAGCAGTTAATTAGAAATTTTCCATCGGTATTTTTATGAACATAATAGGCATAAGTTATTGTACATTTCTTTTTTCCTGGTGACTAAAAGTTCTTAGGACCTTTTATCTATTTATCAAGTTTTATCAATTTTCAATCCTTCTGCCCTCGCTTCTTTTTACTGTTGTCATATTTTAACATAATTTGTTCAAATAATGCGAATGATCAAATACGGTCTATTGAAACTTCGTTTTTTTAATTGTTTGTTTGTGGAGACTTGTTTTTGTTACTGTACTTTAAGATTTTCACTCGCTTCGTTATAAAAAAAAAATTTTTTACGTTTGCCTTGAATCATGCCTAATTGGAGTTTTAATTCTTTGAATATTGAACGTGATCCGTCAGTACTCTCCGTTTCGTAGCTTTATCCCTATATAATTGCATTATTGAAAATATGACTAACTACCCTCTTTCGTGTTTTCTCAGAAATTCTTTTTTCAATTTCCAAACATATTGTTTAAAAAAATTAAATCTTTTGCTGCGTTTCTATGGCATGGGATTTTTTTTACCATTTCGACCTGTTACCTGTCCTCACGGTTTCTGTTTTCTGTTTTCCACGATTTGGCATAATTTTTGTACGAATTTTTCAACGCTCAAAAAAATTTGAGTGTACCCAACTACGAAATGGCATATCGAATTTTATTTGAGGGTACCGTTTTATTACTGATTTCTTTTTCGTAGTTATGTACCCTTTCATCTGGACTAACAATAAGTAATATTTTCTTTAGCACGATTGACAGTTCTTCAAGATCTAGTTATTATATTTACAAACATTTTGTTAAAGAAAAATAATACACAACTATTGCTATTTTTTTGACGTTTTATACCATTTTCGATCCACCTATCCACGCTTTTCTGGCTACAATGAAATTCGTTTTGAGTCAGGTCGAATATATTCAATTCTAATTTTTTTTTTTGCTTATTTGGAGATCGTGAAGTGTGACATTAACTCTGATGGAACACTCTTTCCATGATTATTTTTGGAGATCATGAGATGCAGTCTTGTGTGACGTAGGTTTTAGAAAACCATTTTCTTTATCGTGCCAACGTTTCGATCTTTATTGAGGTCATCTTCAGGGCCTGGGATTACAAACATTGTTTGAATTTTACAAATACATGTGGATGTGGAAAAATATGAATATATACAATGATAGAAAATTTTAGAAAAAATTTAAAAAAGAAAATTTTTATATTTTGCGTTTTGTTTTGTTGTTCTATTTAGATTCTTAGTCGTGTTATTAAACAAAAGATACTACAAGTCACATTATTATTAGTTTGTAGACAAACTGCTTAAGAAGTTTAATTGTTGAAACAAATAATTTAAAGAAAAAATGCTAAAATGTCATTCCTCGAAAAAGAGAGAAGTGGTGAAATTGGTAATAAATTATTCACGAAATCGTGAGAGGCGGACTGGTGAGATGTAGGTTTCAGAAAAACATTTTTTTATCATGCCAACGTTTCGATCTTCATTGAGATCATCTTCAGGGCCTGGGATTTACAAACATTGTTTAAATTTAACAAAAACATGTAGGATGTGGGAAAAAAGTGAATTTATACAAGGCAAATAAATATTTTTTATATTCAATCAAAGTATTTCCATCTCAGTAAAGATCAAAACGTTGACACGATAAAGAAAATTTTTTTCTGCAACCTACATCTCACCAATCCGCATCTCACGATTTCTTAATAATCATCGACAAACAGTCACTAATCACTATACATTGGTAATAAAAACACATAACCATGGGTCTGGAAATCTAAGAACAAGATTTTGATCATATCACAATATCAAATTTTTGGGAAAGTATTATTTTTAGAAAAATTTTGTTAAGAATATCTATTATTTACAAATTCACAAACAAGCACATAAAATCTCTCTCTCTCTTTCTTTCTTTCTTTCTCTCTCTCTCTCTCTCTATCTATCTATCTATCTATCTATCTATCTATCTCTATCTCTATTTATATCTACCATTTTATTTTTGCAAGAAAACAACAAGATTCGGTTTTTTTTTGGTTTTTTTAACCAGAACATATATCCAACATTTTTATACCTATAACTGGATTTCCTCGCTTTTTGCACATTTTAATATAATTTGTTCAAATATTTATATTTATTTTGTTCTATTTCAATTATTGTTGATCTATGGTTATAGCTCTATTCACACTCAGTTTTATTAGGTATTTTTAATATCAATAATTAAATTTCTCGACTCATTGCTTAGGAAAAATAATGCCACTTTTGTTATCATTTTTGCAGGGAGTCCTTGAGTTTTTTTAACAATTTCGATCCACATCTCCTCACTTTTTCCATAGCTTTGACGTTAAACATAACATTTTTTCTTTAAATCATTTATTCGGTTATGAGTCTGTCGTGTTTGCATTAAAATATTGTTTAATTACATGGGTTAATAAATATCACGGTTGATTTGACTGAAACATTTATAATTGAATGAGAAACATTACTCAAAAAGTTTAAAGGAAAATAATGTCAATTAAACAATAACCCTGGCCGCATTAATATTAAACGGACTAAATTAACGTTAATTATTATTACGGTATTTTATATANAAGGAAAGGTTATTTGTCCACTTTGTATGTTTCGAAAATTTACCCCCTCCCCGCCTCTCTGAATTAAGAAATTATTTTATTTACCCCGATTGAAAATAATGTTAAATTTGACTGTTTTATTCAAAATTCATTTATTTCACATTCTTGCAAAAATTACGTTAAAAGTTCATTAATAATATGTTATACAGTACAAATAATTAATAATAAGTACATATTTCCATAATATAACAATAACCATAACATTTAATTGTTAATATTGCTGGGCGTTTGTGAATATTTGAAAAGGTTTATTTTTTCAATTAACTAGTTTAGCAATTTATTAATTTAAATTTAGCTAACGATTTGCCTAACCTGTTCAGATCTAATTTTTTCATAAAATGGGAAAAATCTGCAAGTGAAAATGTAGGTTACATTTTAAAACAAAAATTTTATTTAAGAAAATGAGAAAACTAATTATTGTATTGTTTAAAAGTAGAGCTTATGCTTTTAAAAAAAACCGTTCGAGGTTGGGTAGTTTTTAGGAAAGCCAGGGGCGAAACCCTGTATCCACTGTGTATTTTCGCAAATTTAATTAAACTAATAAATTACAAAGAATTGAATGAAGTAATTTGGTCAATCAGACCACCAAAAAATAATGGATAAACTAATATGTTTTGCCCTAGGATCTTTTTTTCCTACTAGTTTTTAATATATTATTATAATCTTTTAATTAAAAAATAACACAGGTCAAGTGAGAATATATATCTATTTAAACGTTATTTGCTATGTTTAACGTTTCATGTATATGTAAATTCAGGGAAATTTGACATACTGCGCCTTTTGAGAGCTGTTGTACACCCTATTCTGCACTTTAGTACCGCTTTTAGTGGTTGTATTTCTTTTACAGTTACGTTATTCGTCCTATGGATAAATGTAGCACCACAGTCGGCATTCAATTTGAGTCCATTCTCTTCGCATAATCTGCACATCTTTCCCATATGACCGCAGTGTCCTGTTAAAAATTCCGTTTGGATTTGGAGTCTGTTTTTTATAATTAATGGTTCTACTCACAAATTTTAAACGTCTTAGAACCATAAATTTACAAAAAGCAAATCTACATACTCACCCCACTTTATTCATTTCTATTCGGAGTCTTCCTGCTTCCTACGATGCACTCTGTTCTTTCTTGATTATTCAGAAATCGTGAGATGCGGTCTCGTGTGATGTAGATTTCAGAAAAACATTTTCTTTATCGTGCCAACGTTTCGATCTTTATTGAGATCATCTTCAGGGCCTGGGATTTACAAACATTGTTTAACTTTAACAAATCCATGTAGGATGTGGAAAAAAGTGAATTTATACAACGCAAAAAAAAAAATATTTTTTATAATCAATCAAAGTATTTCTACGCAGAAAACAAACACTTTGAGTGAGTAGAAATACTTTGATTGAATATAAAAAATATTTTTTTTATCATCGACTAACGGTCACTAATCACCACACATTTCTGTTCTATCTTTACGAATCGCACCAAGAGGTTTTTGGATTGTCTTTATCTATTGAGTAAATTTCATCGTTTCCTCATTTTCATCATGTTTCCTACTGAAATGATAGTATAGACTGCAAAATCTATCTGGAAGATCTATCAGCAGTGTAGCTGGTAACCCTAGGTGTCCGAGGACGCAGTGGTATGCAATAATTTTTCGCACTTAACCTTTAATGATTCCAAAATATAGCTACTGTTCTTTTCTATTATTTTTTTAAATTGAATTGAGTAAAACTCTTAACTGCACAGAATTCAGCTTGAAGATAGGTGAACATATCCACGGAGTTTTGGGGCCAAATACACCCACCCCGGTACTTTCTTTCGCATAGATGCATACATACAACTTCCAACACCCTTCCACATTATATACGATATATAGTGTAGTATTAGCATCCCCTTGTCATAAACATTACTCATAGGTTCACTAGTTTTCGAAAAATAGCAAAAAGGAGGGAAAATTCAAAAGGTGGGGTTGAGATGGGAAGTTAGTGTCCGAGTGGATCGAAGTCACGATAGCTCAAGTAGTAGAGCAGCTGCGTATAGAGCCGAAAGTTGTGGGTTCGAATCCCGCTCGTGACACTAACTTTTTCTTCTCAACCAAGACCTTAGATAAAAAGAATAATTAATTGAAATAATTAATATGGTCAATTATGACCACTAAACACATATGGATTAATACAATTAAAGAAGTAATCACTTTGCTATTTATCTATTATTTTATCTCAGCCAATACCTTACTTAAAAATAAATTTATTGGAATTAAATATTAATGCTTAAGTTTTATTACTTGTATTTAATAAAAATAAACACGATAGCTCAAGTGGTAGAGCAGTGGCGTATCTAGCCGAAGATCGTGGGTTCGAATCCCGCTCGTGACACTGACTTTTTTATCTCAACTAAAAACCTTAATTAATTGAAAGATTACTCATAAGTAATCAGTTTATTCCTTCTGATTCGTAGAGTTTGTTTCGGAGATATTTTCAATTTTTTATACAATATTTCACAAATTATTTTATTATTTATAAATATTTTTGATGTCGACAAAGTTTTTATTTATATAAGTTTCATGAATTTTTTTCATGTGAACGATGCTAATACAATTTAAATTTTTAATGGAATCGTCGTTTCCATTAATAGTTAATAAACGAATGTAATTAAAATTGAATTTTGCAGTTTTGAAATTCCGGGAAATATGGAAAATTCGGGTTTTTGCAATAATAATGACGCTTTGATTCGGTAAATATTTAAACGAGAAAGTCCTCTTGGAATTTCCTTTTGAAATGAAGCGGCTTATTAAACGATAAAAATAGCCAATTATGATTCCGCGGAGAACAGAAATAACAAGAGGAAAATGGTCTAAATTAAATTAAATGAAAGAACCTGACTGAAACTTATATTTATTTAAAATTTGGTCGTCGCCGATCTATCATCTGTCAAACGCATTTCAGAATTTCGCCATCATCAGCGTTCTGGACAGACAAACCATCGAGGATGGCAAACCATAATTGATGTGGTCGACCAAAACGACCACATTTCACGTTCATCACCATGCACACAACACTCGCATTTTAATATTTATTTCATCGAAGTTCGATAAACGAGATTTTTACTGTCCCATTTCTGGGTGATAAAACGGAGAACTCTATCTATATAATATATCATTTTTTATTTATTAAAGCTGATAAATAAATGTTTAATGGATTTTCAAAAGCAGAAGGTTACGTAGATTGTAGGGTGGTCTAAAGCTAGACCTTTTTATTGTTTATTGAAAATTTCTAGAAACGAAAAATATGTAAAATACAGAGAGAGATGGGGGGAAGAGAGTGAGAGGAAGAGAGAGAAAAAAAATCGATGAAAAATTAAATCCAATTTATAAGTTTTTTTAGTTTGGTTTTAGTTTTTATAAGTTTGTTTTTAAGTTTTTAATACTTACATTTTGCATTTTCATTTTTTATAGTAGTGGTTGAAATAATAAGTAGAGTTCATGTTTTTTTCTAGGTTGAGAAGTTTTTGGGAGAACCTGGGGTGAACCTAGTAAGTTGACACCCTGTATATAAACTAATTAAACTTGTTATATTCACAAAAACCAAAGCCAGCTGCTTATGGCACTTTTCACAGAATCACATTGATCATTCTCCTCAGCTTTTCCCAATTTTTTCGTTGAAGACTCATCGTATGACTGGCCATTAGCATTTTGCAAAATCGTTTATAATTTATAATACTCATCCACATTCGCGCACATATTGTGATTTTTTTCTTTTATATGCAAAGTGATTGTGTGAAAACCTTGTGCCTTTTAATAAAAATAGAACGTAAACATTTTTTTCCCCAGGAGATGCGGTACTTGCTCGTCAAATCAATCGCCAAAGGTGCCAAGCTGGCGGTGCAGCACTGCGAGGCCCAATTCAGATGGGAGAGATGGAACTGCCCAAAAACAGCTTTTGCCAAGTAAGATAGAGATTAGTCCTGTTTGAAACCAAGCGTTAACCCGATTTTCTTTCCTTTTGTCGTCGACAAACCGTGAAATCAATTAAGGATCCAACCCTTGGCATTTACCTAGCCTCGACATCAAAGTGACCCGTACCCGTCTTTGAATCCAGTCGAGTGTGTAGGAATTTACATTCTGCGCCGAATTAACCGGCCGTGCTAATAAACGCCCCAATTTAAATTTAATTTCAAATTAAGTTTGCATTTGTAGAAACCAAAGTCAATTAGGTTGGCTGGCTCGCGATGATTACAATAATACACTTTTCCATTATCCACAATTAAGCTCACTGGAAAGATAAGAGAAAGAAATAAGTAAAATAAAATCCTGATAGAAATGATAAATGATGGAGTGAGTGTGATGTTCAATACTTTTTAAAAGGATAGTTCCTACTCACAGTAAGTTGTTTTGCAACGATCCGGATTTCGAGCCTTTTAGCTCATCATCAGGTTGAAGGACTTCTACAACCACGTCTCTCGACATGAATTGCCAAAGTGAACCGCTGATACCTCCGCCAATGCGACGTTCCAATTATCAGCTGATTTTTTTAATGACGCTCAATTTGAACGTGCGAAACGCGGAAATTATAACACAAATAAATATTAGAATAATATATTATTTGTGTTATAATTTCTGCGTTTCGCACGTTCAAATTGAGCGTCATTAAAAAAAATCAGCTGATAATTGAAACGTCGCGTTGGCGGAGGTATCAGCGGTTCACTTTGGCAATTCATGTCGAGAGACGTGGTTGTAGAAGTCCTTCAACCTGATGAGCTAAAAGGCTCGAAATCCGGATCGTTGCAAAACAACTTACTGTTAGTAGGAACTATCCTTTTAAAAAGTATTAAAATCCTGATGTTCATAGTTTGGAAATCTCCGGTCATCCTGGATCCTGTAATGGTCCTTCTGATTTGCTTCAAGTCATGCATTCGAAAAACAGCAAGTAAAAATCTCCAAACACTGTCTCTCAACAAAAGCTCATTAAGCATTTCCAAGCTAAGACTTCACAACAAAGAAAAGACACCATACCTCAAAAACAACAGGGCAAACATTACTTGATCTAAGCCTTACCAACACTACAGCCTAATTATGTTGAAAATCATTCTTCTGCAACCTCATTATCCAGATTCCAAATTGAAAATCAATAATACTGATTATTTAAAAAAGGAAAGGTAAATGTTTACTGATAAAAAAGCATAGAAAACATTAAAACATATTCTTATAATTACCCAATAACGTAAAAAAACACCTCCCAAGAATTGAAATATACCACATTCACCTATGTAAGAGAGAAAACATTGAATTGAATTTTATTTTTTATTAAATACAAGTAATAAAACTTAAACATTAATATTTAATTCCAATAAATTAATTTTTAAGTAAGGTATTGGCTGAGATAAAATAATAGATAAATAGCAAGGAGATTACTTCTTTAATTGTATTAATCCATATGTGTTTAGTGGTCATAATTGACCATATTAATTATTTCAATTAATTATTCTTTTTATGTAAGGTCTTGGTTGAGAAGAAAATGTTAGTGTCACGAGCGGGATTCGAACCCACGACCTTCGGCTCAATACGCCGCTGCTCTACCACTTGAGCTATCATGACTTCGATCCACTCGGACACAGACTTCCCACCTCAACCGCACCTTTTGAATTTTCCCTCCTTCTTGCCATTTTTCAATGCCATTTTTATCTCGGCCAATACCTTACTTAACGATTTATTAATTGAAAAAAATTTATTTGGTGAATCGGACCACGAAACCTAATGTAATTGATATTTAAGTATAAACAAAGTTTTACATTCTTGTAACTTTTGTTCACGACCTGCCTCCAAAAAGAAATGAGTATGAATTAAGTATGCTTTTATGACTTGCATGTTTTTTTATGTATAAAATTTTTGTTTGTATTTCTAAGTACTATTGGTATCAGTACTATTTGTTTTAATATGTCACTGACATGGACTTTATAGTCTGGATGTATGATGTTGGTCTTTTGCATATTTTAAATTGACATTTGCTGTTTGTGTTGGTAAATCAAGTAGATTTGTCCTTCATGTTTGCATGTGAGGCGTCGTCTCAATATTTTTTACCATTTTGAAAACATTGTATTTTCTCATGATTTTTAGTTTTCCAGGCATATTGTCAAAAAATATCAATTATTATTTACGTGTAGAAATGTGTAGAGATTAGTGATCGTTAATCGATAGTTATTCAGATATCGTGAGATGCGGTCGGGTGTGATGTAGGTTTCAGAAAAATATTTCCTTTATCGTGCCAACCTTTCGATCTTGATTGAGATCTTCTTCATGGCCTGGGATTTACAATGTTTACATTTAACAAATACATTGAGGATGTGGAAAAGTGAATTTATACAATGCAAAATATATTTTATATTCAAACAAAGTATTTCTACTCTACTACCTGTTATATTGGGCCTTTTATCTTTAATAATGTAAATGGCCCAACATAACACCACACACAACTCTATCAAAGAACAGGTTCGTAACAATGATCCGACACTGCTGTGTTAACGGATACTTTACATACGACAATCAATTTTACAAAAAACTATTTGGTATAGCCATGGGTAGTAACCTAGGCCCCATACTGGCAGACATAATCATGACACATCTACTAAATATAGTCATACCACAACTTCCTTTCACATTACCCTTCCTCATTAAATACGTAGATGATATATTGACAGCAGTTCCCACAGATCAAATACAAACTACATTAGATACATTTAATAGCTTTCACCCACGCCTACAATTTACACATGAAACCGAAAACAATACCATTTTTAGATACAATTGTAATAAAACAACCAGATGGCACATTAATCACAGATTGGTATNGTTTGAATATAAAATATATTTTGCATTGTATAAATTCACTTTTCCACATCCTAAATGTATTTGTTAAATGTAAACATTGTTTGTAAATCCCAGGCCATGAAGATGATCTCAATCAAGATCGAAACGTTGGCACGATAAAGAAAATGTTTTTCTGAAACCTACATCACACCCGACCGCATCTCACGATATCTGAATAATTATTATTTCCTTTTTTTTTGGTATCTATGAATGGGAGCTTAATCGATTTCGATCCATCTGTTCTGTTTCGGCGACTCTCTACATTTTAGCATAATTTATTTAAATATAAATCCAACATCCGTTAAAAATGGAACTTGGAATTATTTAATTTATTTAACATAATAACGAAGTTAGGCTCGGTGATTGCCAAATACTTATTAATTAAATTAACTAATAATTTACACAAGAAGACATAATCGGGAAGCCTAAAGTTACGAAGTTACTGGAAGTTACAATATACCCGAAGTGTCTGGGGAGCCCAAACCCCTTTTGCTAGTGGTACTTTGTTTCTGGCAGGAAAATAACAACGAACATTTGAAAAAAAATATTTAAAAAGGGGATGGTTCAACAAAGAAAATCTATAGATTTAATAGAGAGATTAATTTTATTATAGTGTTTATTACTAAACCGAGAACCACTGAGTCTTTAGGCCAGGAGTCGGGCGACTAAACCCTCCTGACTGTGCAGACTTTCTGGTCCCCGAACCGACGCGCCGTACGATTATAAAACTTCAACAAGATATTTAAAAAAATCACTTACATAGGATAAAACATTATTAACTCTATTTAATATGAACTGATAAACACTCCAATCCGCCGGGGAAAAAAATTCGAAAACCCAGTGATCTCATCAAAGACGCCGGCAAATCAAAGCGAATGCCGGCATATTCACCCCCTTCAAATCCGGCTATCTATGTACTTCAAAGATAGTACTATAGTCATATCAACGGCCGATGTAACCGTAAAAATCGAAATAAAATGGTTATCGCTTCAACATCATTCGGTAAAAAAAAGTCTTTTATCCAGACACAAAGTGCATCTGATAATGAAACAATCACTCATCAAATCAAACGCTGGAAAAACCCAATTTTATTCTAGAATAACGAAGAATGACGCCCGACAGGACAAAGTTAATGCCGACATTTACAACTCTTAAAATTTTGCAAGAACTTGATTGGCTTTATTTAAAAATACACCCATCAGATAAAAGCAGTGAACACGACGATCAGACATCACGATTCAAAAATTATTATAGTTTCAACATCATTCGTCTCGAAGTACATGAAAAAAAATTCGCAACCCTCTCTGCAAAGGAAACATACATTTCATAAAAACACAATGCAAGCGACTCTTTTTGACGAATCTATAAATGTCATGATGACGTTGACGTCGGAAAACACTGCCATATAAATCACTCACGAGAGAACGGTCAAATACAGTGCACTCCTACAGGTTTTAGTTGGCCAAATAATTAACATTTTTCATCGAAATATCCCGATTTTTTGTATACTCGAGTATCGAACCACATGGAAGACACTATTTGTTTATAGTTGAATTGGAACTAATACTCTTTTATACGAATCCAATAAGTTTTTACCTGTTAGGCCCGTTTCGGCTTCTCGTAATCTTCAATGTTGGGTGTGTAGTGACCTATAGAAACATTTGGTCAAAAATCAGAAGTGGATCAACATGAGGGAAGTTGAAGAAAAAAATTTCTGTTATTTCATTGTTATTATTAGAATTTTCGTAGTTCTTAGGTTTTACAACTGTGCACAAACCCACCATTGATGAAGAAATGGAATGAAGAGAATTCGAAACGTATCTGACAGACAACACGATAGGCATAGAGAAGATGTCTTCTTGAGGTCTGAGGGTCGATGAACCAACAGTTTGGGCGTTTTCGTCATTTTGGTCAGCATAACCTTGCTGTTGCAGATTGTCGAGACACGTTTCGGCTTAACATATTCCGTGTTGGGTGGACTTAATTACACCAAATGAATTTGAACAAAAGTCAGCCCTTATAGCTCAACACGAAACAGGAGGAAATTAGGCAGTTTGCGATTGTATATTTATTGTTTTATCATTGAATTATTGCAGTTTTGATGAAGGTTTTACAAATGATGATGAGAAATAGACCAAAACTGGATAGGTAAGATAGGGTTCGAATCAATTTCCGAATTTTTCATACATTTTGGTCTGCCTATCTTGTCGGTTAGCCCATTGTTTACGAACTGCAAGTTGTTGTTTTTTTTAGTATGAAGAAGGGGATGATTTTCAATTTTTAGCTTGGCTTTGATAATTGCTTATTACAAACGATCGACTGGAATTCGTGATAATCGGCTGTTCACTGACATGAAAGGGAGGCGATGAATCATACAGCCCTCCCCGCTTTTCCTTGCTTTTTCTTCGTGCCTGCCCTAGCGCGAAATTGCTGATTTTATTTAATATACATCAAAGGATTGATTATGGCGCCGGTTTAATGATGCGGAATTATTCAACGCCTACGATTGAAACTTTATACACAGAATTTGTGGGAACGGTTAATAGATCGAAGTTGGTTGTCAACCTGCTATTTTCAGGCGTGAAAAGCAAACCGCGCCCATTTTGAGTGTGTCACTCGGTGGTCTTCACCGCAGCCGATAAATTGCTGCCGCGGCAATCGATCCAAGCCATAGAAGGCATATTGGATGGAATTGATTGGTTATCCGTTATGTTTTGTAAAATTGGTTTTGTCTCAGGACGACAAGAATATGTATATTCATGTTTCTAAAATTTAACAAATTAATAACGTACATTGAGGGTTTCTAGTCTACGAATGGCATGTCCCCCCTGAATTAGTAAATGTTTTAACAAGCAATATTTATTTTGTCCGTTTCATATCATCCTGGTCGTCTGTCAGACCCGTACCATCTTCATGTTTGTAATTTGATACCGATCATGATCTGACAGACCTAGGGAGGACACACAGGCCAAGATCTGTAAGAATTACAGGTCCACCAACCTGCATACCATCTTACATTCTCTATATATTTTGTTTGAAGTTTTTGTTAAATAAAGAATAAATTTCTTTCTGTGGTTAGCCCGCTGTTTTCACTGTGTCATAAAATTTGTCTTTATATTGGAGTTCTCGCCTTTCTCTTTAGTCTTCTGTCGACGTCTGTGATGGCATAGGTTGGTTCTTCCGACGTTCAGAGAATCCTTTGAAGTTTAAACCTCAAATTGATCTTGACGTAAATAGTGTTTTATGGATGTGTCTCATTACCACGGGTTATCGACGATTAACGAACGAGAGATATATTGTTTGTTGTACCATTGTTTTGGAAGATTTTTCAAAAGGGCCAGAGGCATGCCCGGTTCCGGACCTGCAAACATTGCTGTCCGCACAATCCTCTCTGGATGGATTGCCCGTTTCGGAATACCTCTCTCTATCGGCACAAATCGCGGACGTCAATTTGAGAACGAACATTACATCGGTTTTAAAAATTATTCGGGATTTCATCTGCAAACACTACTGCTTATCACCTCGATCAAATGAATACTGCCCACAAATGTCACGCTTAAAGTCACCAGATTGGGTAAATCCTTTGGTACAGCTCGGCTTACGTACTGCGATCAAGGAAAACATTCAGGCATCCTTAACTGAGATAGTTGACGGATCCACCACTCCGTCTACCTGGAGATTTCTTTTTCTTCCGGCCGACGCGTCAAATTTCAAGCTCGCTCTGAGGACCTCTTCTCTGGGAAAAGAGTATGTGGCGACCCTGGGAGATCACACTCACTTGCGACTAGTTCTACCTGAGACCGAGCAACGAGTCAGTCGAACATTGGCATCATCTACCATTTTATATTTTGTAAATTTACACACTTATTACACTCTATTTTACTTGTTACAAATATCGTCCTTTATTTGTATTCTCTTTGTACTCGCTATGCTACATGTTTAATTCATGTTCTTACCTCACATGTCTCTATGAGTTTGTGTTGTTGCTCTCTTTTTGGCTTGATTTTCTTGCTCTTAGTTGCTGCTAGTAGATTTTTATTGTGTAAATTTCAACAGCCCAAATAAAATATTTTGTCTTATAAAAATTATAATCATGTACATATAAATATATAACACTACTGACAATATAAATAATACTAATAATATAAATTTTGCATGTAATGCTTGTTTTTTGGCTTTGTTTTATTTTATTTTTTATTATTGTTCATCAGTAAATTCTCCAGGGTTTTCCGTACGACAACAAGAGAAAAAGCATTCGTGACAGCCATCACAGCAGCAGGGTTAGTCTACTCGGTGACCCACAGCTGCTCTGTTGGTGATGTGGCTTCCTGCGGATGCAAAAAGCCCTCCCCGGAGCAGAAGCCGCTCAAAGAAGAGACCAATAGAGACATATCATGGAGCTGGGGTGGCTGCAGCGACGACATCACCATGGGGGAGTCTGTAGCTGAAGCCTTCCTCACAGCCCTTGAAAAAGGTGGTGCTGATGTCCTTTCCAGAATCAACAGGCATAACGCTAGACTTGGAAGACTGGTAAATATTAAAAATTGAGTTTGCATGTTAACTCTTCCAGTCCGACTAAACAAAGTGTTCTGTAAAATTTAATTTGAAGGGTGTTTTTGAGAATAAGTCTGTAAGTTATAATTTTATCAGGTTGTCAAAGAACATGTCAGGCCGGAGTGCAAATGCCATGGGCTTTCCGGATCCTGCACAACAAAGACGTGCTGGAGGAAAATCGGGCCATTTAATCAAGTTGCAGCTACCATCAAGCAACGGTACAACAGGGCACAGCGGATTCAAGTCAACCGAGCCACTAAACACGATTCACTGGGCATTCCAGAAAACCAGATGGTCTTCCTCGATGAATCCCCAGATTATTGCAAGCCCAACAATATTACAGGTATGCTTAAAACTAGTATTTATAAGAATATCAGCATATCAATACACATTTGGTGTTCCAGGATGGCCTGGGACAGGAGGGAGAATCTGCAGCAGGGGAAATAATGACAAACTGGAGAAAAGATCTTGCAAAGAGATTTGCAGGGCTTGTGGTCACCAAGTGAAGAAAAAGCCAATAACAATTACATGGTTTTGTGACTGTAAATTCCACTGGTGTTGCGATGTTAAATGCAATATGTGCAACAAGACAATAATTCAGCATTACTGTGATGATACTCCACAGCATTATTGAATTGATTTTGTGATATATTAGAAATTAAATAAATTCTATACTATGAAATTTTCTGAAAAAACAACAAAGTTTTATAATATATAAAAATGTATTTTTTATGAAGTCGTATCGTTAAAATAAATTACGTTGGGGATAATTTTTGCTTCTTTTTAAATTAAAAGAATTTCAAACACGTCAACCGTTCCTTTATTTGATAGCCCTTTTAGTTTTGCTGACAACTCCCAAATTAGGATTTTTCACCTGTTTTTTTCCAAAATACTCTACACTACTCTACTAATACTAGTCCATCCTTTCTCTGGTAATAAACATCGCCAGAGTTTGATTGTTCCAAATTAAGTTGTACTTAATAATAATTGAATGAATATAATTCCTTAATAATTGACGCCTCCAACTTGATTCTTCCAGTTTGTCCCATGTACCTAAGGCATCAAATATCTCTGGTTGGATGGAAATGTATCATTATTTCTTTATTTCTTTACTTGTAATGTGATATTATTTGAAATTTGTGGTGTTTAGTGAGCGTTAGTTAATGGGTTTTTCACATCCTACATGTATTTCTAAAAACTAAACAATGTTTATAAAAGCCAGGCCCTGAAAATGATCTCAATAAAGATCGAAACATTGGCACGATAAAGAAAATGTTTTTCTAAACCTACATCACACCATACCGCATCTCCAACCAAATAATCATTATATGAAATTTTGTCTCTTGTTTGTAATGGTGTGAAAAGTCGACTTGATGAAATATTCCAATTTAAATGGACTAATTTTATTTTTAGAAGTGCCACGGTTCTTGATCCCGACCAATTGCAAAGAAGCTTCAATAGAATTTACAGCATCCTACTAACGAAACAAATAGTTACAGAATTAGTGACTTATATTATTTGCAATGCAACAACTTTTTGCATATCACTATCCGTTCATTTTTTAGACAATATGAATATTCCAATGAACCTTAACAACTTTTACAGCAAAGCAGGAAAGAATATATGTTATAATATATTTAATACAATATTCCAATAATTTAATAAAAGACATGAAACCAATACAGATTTCAAATAATATATTTTCTATAGTAAGAATAGTTATTGGAGACACTTCAAGTTAATGTATATCTTTGGAGAACAAATCGATACTTCTGGCCTGTTAACCCATATCTCTCCAACCAAGTCCTTCCTACCACCCTTGATGGCAAAAGTCATCTAACTTGACTTCCCTCTTCATATTGACCTGATCGGTACACCCAGTTATTTACGTCCCATGTTAATGATTCGCTGCAATGTAAGTAGTTTCTTCCGGGTTGAATGCCAATATTCATCTGTGTTCTGCCCCCGATTACAATGATGTGATTGGTACATCCAGTTATTCATGTCATGTCAATGGTTCGCTGCAATGTAAGTAGTCTCTTCCGGGTTGGATGCCAATATTCATCTGTGTTCTGCCCCCGAATTATGATGATGTGATTGGTACATCCATTTATTCATGTCATGTCAATGGTTCGCTGCAATGTAAGTAGTCTCTTCCGGGTTGGATGCCAATATTCATCTGTGTTCTGCCCCCGAATTATGATGATGTGATTGGTACATCCAGTTAATCCTGTCATGTCAATGGTTCGCTGTAATGTTAGTCGTCATATCCGGGTTCGACGCCTATATTTCTTATTATATCAATGATCATTTCATCTCTGAATATTTACTCTCTTATTTCGGATTGTCATGGTTGTGTATTGTCGATTCAATGTGTAGAATTTTGTATTTTATTTATTGCTACACGACAATGGTATCATTATTACTCATTCTCCTTGCCTCCGTGCTATGTAAGAACAAAATTCCATAATCATTCAATGAATCACTGGTATAACGGTCATTAAAAAGTTACTTCTTTTTTTTCACATTTAGTAACTTTATTATCTGATTGCTTTGCTTGGGTTTGGTGCTAGGATATTGACTGTGTTCGTTTGTGGGCTGTGTTTGATGTGTAGCAGTGTGAATCGACAGTATCTGTGATGTATATGTGGATCTAATTTTTGGGTGTTTGCCTTAACTTGAATTGAATATTGGGTTTTTAAAAAAAATGATAATTGATTTGAAAATTGTAAATGTAATGTTTTTTAGTCTATCCAGCTCTATATCACCCAGCACTCAAGGCGCATAACATGTCCCGGTTGTGATTCAAATATTAAACATTGCACTTACCCTTGTTAAGTCCTTGGCGTGTGCTGGGTGACCCCAAGCCAGCATTAAAAATTTTGAAAAAGGTTGTTAGGGGCGCCTGCAAAATGCAGGGTGCATTTTGCTTCGCCTTTCTTCTTCCTTGGTTCTCAAGTACTGTCTGTAGTAAAGTATTCCGCCCAATGTAAGCAATCCTGATGCATACCATAGTTTGTTTGATTTCTTCATTTTATTGTTTATCGGATATACTGTCACGTCCCAGCCTTTAGTCAGGGTAGGCTCGTCCACGGTACGCTTGTGAAAAAAACTGAACAGTTTTTTGAACATGATGTAGGCAATAATTTTTCTTCACAGAAATAAGTATGGTATCTATGACAACACTAAGCATTTTATAAAAAAAAAGTTATTAATTGTTTCACGTTTGTTATGCTTTCCGTTTGAGTTGTAAGCACATAAAAATTTGCCTTCAGCGTTCGTTAATTACTTCAATTTAAATTGAGAGGTTTTAATATGTACACAAAGATAGAAATTGTTATGTTGCATATACTTTATATGTCAAAATTGGTAACATCTGCTACAATAAATTTTGTACGAAAGTGATGATGATTACAAATTCAATGAAAAACTTTTTTGCTATAAAGCATTGAATAAAAGATGGGAAAATTGTATTTATTGAAACAAATAAGTAATCGCAAGAAAACAATAATTTAATAATACTTTTACTTGAAATGTAAGAGTAGAAATCAGTGAAGATTGCGGTCAACCGAAACGAGTCAGAATGATCAAAACAGCTAGGATTGGCGTACCAAGACCTACCAGTTTGACCCATCCTCAGGCAATAAAAATACATTAAAAAAATATTAGGTGTTTGCTGTTAATAAAATGTTTGTTGCTTTATTTTGTAATTATAATTTTTTATTACTGTTCGTCTGCCAAGTTTTATCGGTGAACTGAACTGGGCATTAATTAACATTCATGTAATGTTGCATAAAGCTTAGGGCTGACAAAATTCCCACCGGTCAACATAAACATTTTCTCGTCGTTCCTTTGTTGTTTAATGTAATTATTTTAAATAGACGGTCGATAACATTTTGAATTTTGTTTGAGAGAAACAGCACCATCACCTGTTTACACTGCCGTTGTAACCTTAGTGCATTTATTTTTGTACCGTGTGATGATCAACACTGACCTATAATTTTTGCGTAACTCAGACATGAATAAACATGTAAGCTTTGTTATAACGATTATTATGCGCATTTTCATTTCTACCTTTATAAGCACAACCTTTTCACAACTAATGTGCATCTGTACAAAAACATCTCAATTTCCTTTTCTACTTGCACCAATTTTATTGCGAAGGGCGATATAGAAATTAAAAGTGCTGTATATTAACTGAGAAGTTTGTAGTTTGTAATAAACCGTTTAATTACTCCTTTAAAAAAGAACCATAAAGGTCATTAATACAACGAAAATAGTATATGTCGTGTAATTGTTATAGAATAGTCGTTTATATACACGTAAAGAAAGATTCCGTCGGCACGCAAATCCCTCATTCGTTGTTTATAATTGCCTGGTATACGTTAACAAATGTGTTTTTATTAAATTTGCAAAATATATAGCCTTGTAGAATTGTAAAAGTATAACCAAGTTTACGGTAAGACTCTCTTTCATACTTTGTATTGGGTTGTCCGGAAAATAATGCAGGATTTTGGTATTAAACAAAAAAAAAGAAACTAGTTACTTTAAAGCAATGTTCTTTAATCAAAATAAT